ATTTCAAAAGATCATACATTTCCTCATTGACAATGCCATGTTGGAGGTTGGGGATCTTGCTTTCAAGACCATAAAAGAAAAACAGATTACTAAGTAGCTAAAAGTCTAAACTATATCTTCCGATACATTGATGAAATAACACCGATCAATGATAATGTAAATTTCAATAAATATAAAAGTGAAATATATCCCTCTGAACTAATATTAAATAAAGAAAATTCCAGCACTATAAATGCATCTGTTCTTGACCTGGACATCAATATAATTAACAATAAATATAATGTCAGTGTTTTCGACAAAACGGACAAATTTAGTTTTGAAGTAGTGAAATACCCGTCAATTTATAGTAACATACCAGATACCACGTTATATAGTGTTTTCTTTTCACAAGCATTACGATTTTTCTTAGCCGAAAAAGTTCATCAGGATTTTCCGACGTGGTTTCCCCTTGTCAGTGGTGCAGGATGGAGGCCTAACACAACAGGGACAGCTGTCTAGTCGTTCAGATGGGTCGGAAAAACGATGTCCCATTTATACATAGGTGTGCACGTAAAATGATCCCTTGGCAATTGAGATTCGATATAAGAACAGGCCATAGTGCCGCTGCCCGGGCAAAATTTCTCTCATAGCAAACTGTATGGTGTATGCCCATCTTCATTAGCCCAGTCAGACTAGAACAGTAGGACGTTAAACTTCATTTCATTTCATGTAAATAAAGTTATAATATGTTAAATAATGTTTTCTCCAGGTCCTCCGGTTTCCTCCCATTGTTAAAGACCGTTACGCGCAAGCGAATTATTAAAATAAAATTAAACCATGTTAGTCCCGAAATGACTTAGTTTGTGTCGAGTGGACCGTAGTGGACATTAAACCCCATTTCTCTCTCTCTGTTAAATAATGTAAAAGCAAGAATAAATAGGTGAGTTTTTGTTTAAAAACAGGGAGTGTTGCGCAACTGCCTATATACATGTACCATGTGGGAGTTTATTTTATAAGTTTGGTGCACAATTGGAAAAAGCATGATTACACAGGAGGCAAGGTTTGATTTTTGCTCCTTTAAAAGAAAACGTTCTTGAGAAGACATAAAGTTCGGGATGGTGAATAAAAATAAAGTTAAAAGATTAGATAATTAAAGATACATTATGTAAGATTTAGATAAAGAGCTAGCCAATCCTACGGTGGCCTGTTAATGCCATACATTGATTTATACCTTTTTCGTGAAATTTACCTCATATGAGAAATCGCAGTGAAAACTGTGATAAATAAAAAAGACATGAAAAACCTTTCCACCGCTGTGTAAATATTTTCTCCGCGGTGTTAATATTTTCTCCGCGGTGTAAATATTTTCTCCGTGGTGTAAACATTTTCTCCACAATGTAAACATTTTCTCCGCGGTTTAGTCCGCATTGTTACTAATGTTACTTATTTACATTAGTTTTTATGTTAACAATGGAGAACAGCGGTGTTTGGCCCCGAGTGACTTTCCGCTCGTAATAACCCATTTGACGTCATTCCGGAGTAGGCCATGCGACATGCGAAGAAAGTTTTAAAATTATACTGCATAAGGATTATAAGACAATGTCTGAAATTGGGGAAAATATTTACACCGCGGAGAAAATGTTTCCACCGCAGAGAAAATGTTTACACCGCGGAGAAAATGTTTACACCGCGGAGAAAATGTTTTTTTATTCATCACAGTTTTCATTGAGATTTCTCATATGAGGTAAATTTCAAGAAAAAGGTATAAATCAGTGTATGGCACTAACATGCCACCGTACATTCCTGCTATAATAGTTCGAAAATAAATAATGTAAAATGAATCATTTGAAAATTTCATTCAAATTACTCTATTGCAAGCGAAGATATTAGCCTTTGCAGGTTTGACAAGACGTGTGCAATAATTTCAACCACTGTACTGGTTGTTCAAAGCTTAGTCTCACTCCACCATTTTTGAATTAAATCAAAATATGCCTGAACCGTTGTAGTCTATTTAATATTGGAGAAATCTGATGCCATCGAGCGTTGATTATGACCTGGATCAGTTAATTAATTTCTAATTAATAAATTAAAAAACATTTCAGGCCTAAAGAAAGACCTGCAATAGGCAGATTTAGCTCTTGCACGGGGACCCAGTGTAAATTAAAAAGGGCTGGTGTAATTAATATGTTCTCTACAAGAAGTGAGGAGCCACAGTGGCTTAGTAAGACGTTGGCTTATTACATATACTAACCTATATAAGCCTAGCTGCAGAATTTTGCAATTTTTGTAGTTTTTCGATATGTTTAACAGGAATAGCATATAATATCAATTTAAGAAGGCATTTTACACAATCTGCAGACACATTCAGTTTCAGTTTTCCAATATATCTCAAATTAAGATATATCCTAATTTGAATCTGACTAATGTGTACTGGTAATTATTTTATGCAAATGTCTATTTTATGTTTATATAGTTACTTTTAATTATTTTTAGAACCTCAACAGAACTTTTAAATAGAAAAAATAAATTTGTTGATGAGGCAATATCCCTGGATTTGAAATGTTTTGAATCGATATCAGCTTTAACATTCAGCCTTGTATAAATCGAATGATGTAAATTGAATTGTAGTCTACATTTATTACAACCAAAATATGTACAAATCATTTTGGGGTGGGATTGTGAATGGCACTCTAGATTTGGAACGCATGAATATGAATTGGTATCCACTGGACCGTAAACGTTTCTTGGTCACATCGTATATAATAACCTGATTAAATTTTTGTTATGATTGATGATTTGAAGTGGATGTTATCGTTCACAATGACACAATGAATTCCTGTTTCAACTTCTGATTTGTGAATGGATATCGCAAGAACTTGAAAATTTCATTTATCTTAGATATAAGATGAGAAGATAACCTCAGAAATGGACAACTCTTTTATTCCTCTGAACATCTGCTGGTAGCATCGTTAGCCATGGTCCAGAAACCAAGGGACATGCAATGCTTTAATCTTCAATTCTCATTATGTCACCTTTATCAGGGTCTCTCATTGATATGTTAAAGGCTGGTCATGAAATGTCGACAGTTTCTGGAATAATTAAAAAAATAAATGATATTTTACCTCATTGTATATTCTCTTTTGATCTTCAAAGTCTTTTCTGACAATGAGAGCATGAATTATATGACACACAACTCTGGTGTTACCCGATGTCAACCTTTGTTGTCTGATGTGGTAACATTAATACTACATTTTACAGTTAATAAACTTATATCTTTTATCATTTCCGCTATAAAAACAAATTGATTATAGTTTGAAATGGCACAGCTCAATTCATTGTCGGGTGGAAAGGGGAATTAATTTCATGTGACCTTTTATTTAAAGAACAAAAGGTTGTGATTTAGTTTTCAAAGAAATTAGTACATGAAAGTAACAGGGTATCTTCTAATTATTTGTCATAAGCTACCACACCTGCATTCATTACATGTTCAAAGTTTTGGGTCTGAAGTCAATCATTTTAAATCAGAAATATTCAGAGGAGTTATAGGAAATGTTGACTGACAATTTGTAATAGACAAGATAATCATCATATTCATGTCATCTTATTTCCATTTTATATGCTCATGTAGTTTGTGTTTCAACACAACAGAATTAGATGCTTTACATGGTGTAAAACAAATTGAATAAAAGATTGTGTGCAAATAAATATTTGGAATAGTATGCTGTTTATATGGCTACATCTGAAATGCCAACTGTCTTAAGTGGAAACATTATAAGCCAGCTTGAGTAATAAATCCTTTTAAACTGGTTTGTTTGCCCTATCTCTTTTGTGCAGCTGAATGATTGACTTGGTTTGGTTTTTAAACCAGCTTAACTGAAAGTCAATAATAAAACTGCTAAATTTTGTGTTAAAAGCTTTTAAAAGCCTCTACCTTAGAGCCAAGCAACTAACTCAATATATACGTGATACGTTTTCAAACAACTTAAACCTGTCAGTTTTCATCTGGAAATGGAGACCGGTGTCCCAAGCTGTATAGTGTATTTTATGGTGTCTGGATAAAACCAGACTTTTATTTTTTTAAAAATAATGTGTAGCTGAAAATTACCTTTCGTTGTCAAGTACAGCACTTGGGTCATGCACTGTATAGATCTCTAAGGAACGGTCATAGATTATCAGGTCACAAAACGAAAAAATTGACCCGAAATCTTAAAAGGTTTACGTGTCCAGATAAGCGGTTTTGACGTTCACGTCCAAACGACTCAATATTTTGAGCTGAAATTTTGAGAGAAGGTAAATACACTGTTACCCTAGATTTTGGCGTTTTAATTTTATACGTACACAGACTTTTATTTCTGAGACTCTTAAAATCGGTTTAAAATAACATTTTCAGTTTAAAATAACATTTTCAGGAAGTAATCAGCGAGTTTTAACAAAAGTACTGTTTTCGGTGAATTTTCATCAACAAGTTCTGGCATACATTTTACAGTCCTTCTAATCATCATATAAGGTCTTGTACATGAGAAAAATTAGCTGTACAGGGAGAGATGCATCTTTTGCAGTAACAACCAATCAACTGACCAGTAACAACCAATCAACTGACCAGCAACAAATTAAAATGACAACTGTGACTACGTACATACATGTACATCCCCTGGTAGAAAGTAGAAAAAAAATACACCTGAACTCCTGAAGCAAGTTATTAGATTAGCCAGTAGAGTATAGGTGTACTTGTTAGACTCAAAATTTATGTGTTAGGCACAATCTTCACCCCTCGCGCAGATTGAAGCCCGCGTGCGCAGATTACACTCTGCGCTTATCAATGCATTTTTACGGAAATATTGTGGATTTATCAAGTGAAACACTATGAGGAGTATGCGGTACATATTGTTTAATTTATTGTATAACTTTTAGACTGAAGCATTATTTAAATGTTCACAGCATTATTCAAATTGTCATTTTCATTAAATGCCGCTCGGACATTATTTTTAATTTTAATATTTTTTAAATGTTTTTTTTTTCAGGCATGCCTTTTTATCAAGCTGTGAACATTTTAAAAAGACAAGACCGTGCAATCAAAGGTGTTCAAGTATGGTACAGTGACCAGGTTAGCTTTTTGTTATTTGAAAAATGAAATGCCCATTTATATTTGGCCTGAGCATGTCCAGATCTGGACATGATAAAACTCAAAAAGCTGTTAATTTTAATGGCCATGATTAATATAGTAATTATTACACATGCTTATATAATATGTACCGGCTCAGTTTCCATTTACACTACCAAAATTTTAGACAAACCGTACTGGACTTTTTATCCTAAGTTGCAAAAAATCTTTGCAATGTACACTATTTTAACTGTTTTTTATTCGACCCTGTCCGTCTGTCAAGAATTCTTGTAAGCACCCTTCAGGTTAGAGTTTTTGAGATTTATTATTTTAAACTTGCTTTGATTGTTTGGCTAGTCTTTAGTATGAAACCTATGGAAATGCAGAGTGGTGCAAGGATTGTGCACAGATTTATATTACTGCCTCTATCACAGAAACCTTGTAAAGTATCTACAGTTTTGAGGATTTTTTTTTTCTTTCAACCATGCTGGGAGGAATCCTAATAATCCTATTGAATTTCAGATTTGTGAAGCATTTTTTTGCAGAATCACTGCCCCTGTCAACAATAAAATGTAAATACTCTGGATTTTGTGATCATTATTTTTTCAACCTACAGTGCTTGTTTGGCTGGTCTTAAAGAAGAAACCTATCGAAATTCAGATTTTTTATGCAGATCCTAAATTGCTTGGAATTTATATGCCAACATTGTATGAATCTAGATAAGCAGATTAATTGCTTGATGCTTTACAAAAAGATAATGTGTTATTTTTATACCTCCACATGTATAATTTGTCACCCTTGTATGTGTGTGTGTGTGTCTGTGGTTCGCTTACAGGCCGCAATTCTTAACTGATCGCCTTGAAACTTTACATACTTATTCCTCCCTTATACCCTAAGGATGGTCCCTATTGTTTTTGGTGCATGCTCGACCCCCAGGGGCAGAGCCATGCCCATTTCTTGTATTTGTTTGTTTGTCGTCAACAGGCCGCATTTCTTAACGTATCATCTGGAAACTTTGCATACCTATTCTTTGTACCCCAAGAAACATCCCTATCGATCCTATCGTTTGGGGGGCATACCCAACTCCCAGGGGCAGAGCCACGCCCATTTTCTTTTTGTGTGTCTGTGTCGCCTACATGCCACAATTCTTAATCGACCATCTTGAAAAATTTTCATATGAATTCCTTATAAGTTATATCCTAAGGATGATCCCTATTGTTTTTGATGCATGCCCGTCCCCCAGTGGCAGAGCCATGCCCATTTCTTGTATTTATTTGTCTTGTGTTTCACCTACAGGCCACAATTCTTAACAGATCCTTTTGAAACTTTGTATACCTACATGCATTCCTTATACCCTAAGGATGACCCCTATTGTTTTTTGGTGATTGCCTAACCCCCAGGGGCAGAGCCACACCCATTTTTTCTTTGTGTCTTTGTGTGTTGCCTACAGGCCACGATTCTTAATGGATCATCTTTGAACTTGAGATATATATTCCTTATAGCCTAAGGACGACAACTGCATGTCCCGACCACCAGGAGCAGACCCACGCCCAATATTTGTGTTTATCGTTTACAGGGGGATCGCGTGGCTAAGTGGGTAAGACGCTGGCTCGCTAGCCTGGAGGTCGGGTGTTCGATCCCTGCATTGGCCGAGAAAGTTCATCCAGATTTTCCGGCATGGTTTCCCCTTGTCAGTGATGCAGGACGGAGGGCCTGACAAGGACAGTTGTCTAGTTATTCGGATGGGAACCGAGGTCCCTTGTACAAATTGGCGTGCACGTAAAAGGCCCCCTGGCAGTTGGAATTCGATATAAGAGTAGGCTGTAGCGCCGCTGCCCGGGCAAAATTTCCCTCATAGCACATTGTATGGCGTATGCCCGTCTTCATTAACCTAGTTTAGGAGCAAAACAGTAGGACGTTATAATTTCATTTCATTTCATTTCTCGTTTACAGGCCGCAATTCTGAATGGATCAACTTGGTACTTGGCATATGTATTCCTTATAGCCTAAGGGCGTCAACTATTGATCTTGGTGAATGCCCCGACCCCCAGGGGCAGAGCCACGTCCAATTTTGGCCTTTAGTGCCTTTAGACTTCAATTTCCGTGTAGTACTTTTAGAGTTATGGCCCTTGTTTCAATTTGTGAACGTTCTAACCTCTAAAGTTGTCTGCCAATCTGTATGAAATTTATATGTGCCATTTAAGTTAGTAAAAAGAACAATCCTATTGAATTTCAGCAATTTCCGTTCATTACGTCTAGAATTATGGCTTGTTTCACTTTATTGAACCTTGTGAACGCTCCAACGCCAAAAGTTATCATCCAATCTTTGTGAATTTTAAATTAGTGAAACCACGAAGCCTATTGAATTTCAGCAATTTACAATAATTACTTCTAGATTTATGGCCCTTGTTTCACTTTGTTCAACCTTGTTATTGCTCGATTAATGAAAGTTATCATCCGATATGTATGGAATTTATATGCATCATTTAAATTTGTGAAACAGGGGTCTATTGAATTTCAGCAATTTCCGTCAATAATTTCTAGAGTTATGGCCCTTGTTTTACTTTGTGAACCTTGTGAACATTTGAATGACAAAAGTGATCATCCAATCTGTATAAAATTTATATGCATTATTTAAAGCCTGTCAAATTTCGACAATTTCAGTTTGTAGAACCTTGTAAACCCTCAAACGCCAAAAATTATAATCTTATCTGTATGGAACTATCTTGTAAAGGTCCCCAATTACCTACAAAGGTAAAAATTTGCGACAACTCTTGTCGACAGCTCTGACGATTTAGCTGCTGGGGTATATGTTTTGTTGCCTGTCAACCTATCTTTTGTTAATATTTTGTCTGTAAATTTGGCAAAACAAACCCAACGCCTAGCCTTCTTTGCCTCTTGTCATATTACAGCCATTTCATATTTCATTCTCTTCATTTTAAAAAGTACCATATCAATCAAAGCAGGAATGGGGACGTATATTGCAGGGTTAGAGATGCTCTTGCTGGATTAAGACAGGGGACATCAGCCTCACATTTGACTTGTTGTATTGACTTCTCTCATAATATTTTATCTTTAACTTTAAATATAACAATTTGTCAGATTTATAAATCTATGCATCTTTTTCAGGAGAAGCCAAACATACATATCAGTCATATCTCAACTATGTACAAATACCCAACTCACAAAACAAATCAACACATTAAATGTAATTAAATCGATACTTTTATTTTTATACGCCTACATTTTCATATGGACGTATATTTTCATTTATCATGTCCCTTGATTTATTCTTTAAATGGCATTTAATAATTATTTCTCTGCGACGTTTCAACAAGATTTCACAAGTCGTTATCAAGCATATAACACAAATAAATAAAATGAATAAAATATGGTTATATATATACAAGAGCAGTGGAAACCCTCCAATGGGATGCATAATCAGCAAGCATGAGTAACTGTCCCAAGCCGTTAAATAAAAAATTGGTATAGTTAAGCACAGGAATAAAGGATCAAACAATTATTAACAGGTATAATGAGCCATGAGCAATAGGTCCTGACAGTAAAAACATAATAAATAAATATATGTATTTGTAATTAGTTATAGATGAAAGTAATAATAAAAGATGAAAGGACAGGTATTATATTGTTATTGTTATCCATAAATAGTGTGTTATTCGTTTATGTCCCTTGATTGTACGAAAATTCAAATTTTTAGCTTATGGACACTCTAGAGGTCACAGTTTTTATCCGATTTTGATGAAACTTAAAACATATCTTTATATCCCAGAGATCTTGGTTCCTTTCAATATTCATGCATATCGGACTGTAACTTCATGGATTATGGTCCCCTGATTGTACGAAAAATTGCGTTTTTAGCTTGTGGAACCTCCTCACAAATAGTGTAAGACTATATAATATCATGGTTTTGGATCCTATAGAGGTCACAATTTTTATACGCCCACATTTAAATGTGGTCGTATATTGTCGTCGCCCCCGTCCGTCCGTCCGTCCGTCTGGCGGTCTGTCTGTCCGGCGTCCACAATTGCTTGTGGACGCTCTAGAGGCTAAAGTTAATATCCGATTGACTTTAAATTTATACACAGTGTTTAAGGTCTTGAGACGAAGAAGCCTATAGATTTTTAGCAATTTCTGATAATTACTGCCAGAGTTATGGCACTTGATCACTTTGAAAAATCTTGTGGACGCTCTAGAGGCCAAAGTTAATATCCGATTGACTTTAAATTTATACACAGTGTTTAAGGTCATGAGACGAAGAAGCCTATAGATTTTTAGCAATTTCCAATAATTACTGCCAGAGTTATGGCCCTTGTTCACTTCAAAAAATCTTGTAGACGCTCTAGAGGCCAAAGTTAATATCCGATTGGCTTTAAATTCATACACAGTGTTTAAGGTCATGAGATGAAGAAACCTATTGATTTTCAGCGATTTCCGATTATTACTGCCAGAGTTATGGCCCTTAATCACTTTGAAAAATCTTGTGGACGCTGTACAGGTCAAAGTTAATATCCGATTGACTTTAAATTTATACACAGTGTTTAAGGTCATGAGACAAAGAAGCCTATTGATTTTCAGCGATTTCCGATTATTACTGCCAGAGTTATGGCCCTTAATCACTTTGAAAAATCTTGTGGACGCTGTAGAGGTCAAAGTTAATATCCGATTGACTTGAAATTTATACACAGTGTTTAAGGTCATGAGACGAAGAAGCCTTTTGATTTTCAGCGATTTCCAATAATTACTGCTAGAGTTATGGGCCTTGATCACTTTGAAAAATCTTGTGGACGCTCAAGAGGCCAAAGTTAATATCCAATTGACTTTAAATTTATAATCAGATTTTAGTGTATTATAAATGTTTCATTACCGAAAATTAAAAATATGTGACAACTCTTGTTGACTGCCCGGACGATTTAGCTGCTGTGGGCGTATGTTTCATTGCCTGGCAACCTATCTTTATCAGATTTTGATGAAACTTAAAATAT